CTATAACAGGTGTGAACCAAGAGCTGGGGAGCCAGGAGGTGACAGAATTGTTTCTACACTGGGACACAACTTTGGGGAAGGTTGCATTGTGTGGGTAACATTTTTTTTAATGTTTTTTATTTATTTCTGAGAGAGAGAGAGAGAGAGAGAGTGTGAGCAGGGGAGGATCAGAGAGAGAGGGAGACACAGAATCTGAAGCAGGTTCCAGGCTCTGAGCTAGCTGTCAGCACATAGCCCAAAGTGGGGCTCGAACCCATGAACCACGAGATCATGACCTGAGGTGAAGTCAGACGCTCAATGGACTGAGCCACTCAGGCGCCCCATGGGTAACATTTTTTAAAACCAATCTTAGGGACACCTGGATGGCTGAGTCAGTTAGGCATCCCACTTTGGCTTAGGTCATGATCTCATGGTTTGTGGGTTCCAGCCACACGTGGGGCTCTGTGCTGACAGCTCAGAGCCTACAACCTACTTAGGATTCTGTGTCTTCCTCTCTCTCTGCCCCTCCCCCACTCACGTTCTGTCTCTCTCAAGAATAAATAATAAAAACATTTAAAAAATGTTTCAAATAAAAAAAAACCCACTTTAGGGGTGCCTGGGTGGCTCAGTTGGTTGAGCGTCCAACTCTTCTTTTTTTCTTTCTTGCTTTTTGCATTTTATTGGCCACAGGGGAGGGGGCCTCCTCTAAGTTACCAGAGGTGCTCATAGTTTCTTCAGCCACTCCAAGCTTGGAATCTTGGGGTCCTGGGACTGGCTGGGCACATCGGGCATGTTCCCATAATCTCAGAGAGGCACTGGATAGTTGTAGGACATGGCCTGGTTGATCATGGTGGTGTATTTGGTGAAGGGGCAGACCGTGGGCAGAATTATACTGAGGTTCCCAATGGTGAAGGACTCAATCAGCACCGACTCCTTGGCCTGGGTATCCTTAAGGAAAGCTGCAAGTCTCCCAGCCATCTTAGTCCTGGAGAGTCCAACTCTTGATTTTTGGCTCAAGTCATGATCTCATAGTTCATGGGTTCGAGATCTGCATTGGGGTCCATGCTGACAGTGTGGAGCCCACTTGGGATTCTCTCTCTCTCTCTCTCCCTCTCTCCTTCTCTCTCTAGTCCTCCCCCAATTGTGTACGTGCTCTCTCTCTCATGGTGGTGTGTTTGGTGGTGTATTTATAAAATATATAAATAAACCTTTAAAAAAGCCACTTTAAATATACAAACTATTTTGTTCTAACTGTCCTCTTTTTAAATTTTTATTTTATTTATTTATTCATTTTAATTTTTTAAAGTTCATTTATTTTTGAGAGAGAGAGCAAGCAAGGGGGCAGAGAGAGGGGGACAGAGAATCCCATGCAGGCTCCGCACTGTCAGCATGGGTCCAATGCAGGGCTCGAACTCCTGAACCGTGAGATCCTGACATGAGCTGAAACTAAGAGTAGGATGTTGAACTGACTAAGCCACCCAGACACCCCTTATTTTTTTATTTCAGAGAGAGGGAGAGGAAGAGAGAGCTTATGAGTGGAGGGAGAGGGGAAGAGAGAGAGAGAGAATCCTAAGCAGGCTCCACATGCAGCACAGAGCCTGACTTGGGGCTTGATCCCATGACCCTGGGATCATGACCTGAGCCAAAATCAAGAGTCAGACCCTCAACCAACTGAGCCACCCAGGTGTCCCCAAACTGTCCTCTTTCTATTCTTTGCATTCCTAATTCTTACAGATTCCAGTCATTTTCAATGGGTGCATACTCACATACACACAAACATACATTGTCAAAGCAAAATATGGAGTATGCCTTCTTTTAAGCATAACCATATTTTGGCCATATCCAAGGATATTCACTGCAGCATTCTATGTATTAGCAATATCCGTCAGTAGGGAATTGGATAGATAATAGTTCCTTTTTGGGTGGTGTATTTTACAGCGGAAAAAAATGAGGTAGGTATATATGGTATGGAAAAATCTCTCCAAGATATACTATAAAGCATAAATAAGCAACCTGCAAGGTAGAATGTTTAAAAGGAAAAGATGGGTGTGTGTGCGTGTGTGTGTGTGTGTGAGAGAGAGAGAGAGAGAGAGAGAAGACGAAGACGAAGACGAAGACGAAGACGAAGAAGAAGAAGAAGAAGAAAGAGAAGGAGAAGGAGAAGAGAAAAGGAAGAAGAAGAATCACACATAGAAATTTGCATGTACATAAAACATTTCTGGAAAGAGTCCTAAGAAACCATGAATGGTAGTTGTCTCTGGGATGGGAGACAGACTTGTTTTTCATTATATGCCTTATTATCCTGTGTGAGCTTTTTTACCACGCATTTTAAAATTTTTCTTTCTTTTTTTTTCTTTTTTTAGTACTCTGTACTCCCAGTGTGGGGCTTGAACTCATAACCCTGAGATCAAGAGCTGCATGCTCTCCTGACCAAGCCAGCCAAATGCCTGCGTTTTTAATTTTTTTAATTAAAATCTAGTTAACTGGTACTAAAAAAAATAATAAACTTAAAAAAATAGTTAATTAAAAACAAGCTTAACCATACAGCACGGGCTTTTTTTCCATGTTACTATATAATACATTTAGCTCTCATCATTGCCAGGCTGTTCAGATATTTCACATATATTAACTTACTATTTCCCACAACAACTCTCAGTTATTATTCTATTTCCCAGATAAGGGAAACTGAGGTACCTTGCTCAAGTTCACACAGGTATTAAGTGGTAGCAGCAATCTGAACCCACGTAACCTGGCTCTGAAGTCGATGCTCATAAACATCTCAGCGGTGACACTGCTCTCCTGTTAAGGGCAGCAAAGCATGTTCTACAAAGTGATTGTGTCACACTTTGTCTAACTGCTCCTCCTTCGATATGCATTCTGGTTGCTTCTAGGATTTTGCTATTATCTACCATGCTGCAGAAACACACCTGTGATTAACCCTTTGTGCTCTTGGGTCAATACATTCTTAAGAGTGCAGTGAAACCACTGCATCATCTAAAATTTGATAGTTATTGCCACATTGCTGCCCTTTGTTTTCCTTAACCGATTTGGTCTCCCCTCATCTATGTACAAGAATGGGGAAGTAGCCCAGAGGTCCAGGGGCTTGAAAAGGGGAAGCTCAGTCCTAGTAGAAAAAAGTACGAGCAGAGACGCTGACCTGTGTGTTTTGTGAGGTTAGGGATTGTCTAACTCATCTTTGTTCAACAAATATTTCTTGAGCCCTTACTGAATGCTTTTACACAAAGGAGGCAGAGTCATGGCAAACACAACAGGCATGGTCCATGCCTTCACGGAGCTGACAGTCTGTGGCGCGAGAGGCATTAATGAAGCAAACACAGGGGCGCCTGAGTGGCTCAGTCGGTTAAGCAGCCGTCTTCAGCTCAGGTCGTGATCTTGCAGTCCGTGAGTTCGAGCTCTACCATCAGACTCTGTGCTGACAGCTCAGAACCTGTAGCCTGCTTCAGATTCTGTGTCTCCCTCTCTCTCTGCACCTCTCCCACTCGTTCTCTCGCTGTCTATCAAAAATAAATAAAAACATTAAAAAAAAAAAAAATAGAAGCTTGTTTTCTTGAGTGTATTTTAAGGGCCTTTGTGTAAGATAGATACCAATCTTTATCCAATAGATCTTTCCAAAGAGTCTTCTCCCAGTCTGTGACCTTTATTTTCATTTTCCCTACAAGTTCTTAATTTTGAAGAAATTTAATTTGTCAGTGTTTTCGTGGGTCATGCATCTGGTTTTTAACCGAAGAAATGTTTGTTCAAAGAAGGCTCACAAAAGCTTCCTTCCGTATTTTCTTCCAAACGTCTTCTTGTTGTAAGTTTTACTTTTGTTTATGATACATTTTGAGGTCATTTTTGTGTGTGGTGCGAGGTATAAACTCAAGTTTGTTGTTTGCAAATGGATATCCAAATTTCCAGGAGCAGTTTTGGAAAAATACTATTTGTTCTCCACTGAATAGGCTTTGCTTATGTGTCAAAGATCAGTGGTTCATATGTAATATACAGAACTATTTCTGGACTTTCAATGGAGGTCCATTGATCTGTTTGCTTATCTTTAGGCTTAGGCACACTTATTAATCTTTGCTGATTACTCCAGCTTTATCATGAGTCTTAAAATCTACTTGCTTTTCTTTTTCAGAGATTTGGCTTTTTTATGTCTAATACATTTCTGTCTGCTGGGAATATATGTATATGTGTGTGTGTGTGTTTGTGTGCCCTCCTTTTGGGCACAGTAGTAAAAGACAACAAGCATTTTGTTTTCCAATATTTAATAAGCATTTATTAAGTACTTACTAAGTATTGGCAGTGTTCCAGGTACTGGGAATATGGAAATGACTAAGGCAGAGTCCCTGGTCAAATGAAGTTTATTCTTATAGGTAAAGACAAACAATAAGCAAGGAAACAAAATGGCTTCAGTGACGATTATAATGAAGAAAGTAAAAGTGGAGTGCCCGGCTGGCTTAGTCGGTAGAACATTCCACTTTGTTCTTGGGATTGTGAGTTTGAGTTCCACATTGGGCATAAAGATTACTTTTAAATAGACAAGCAAGTAAGTGTAATCCAAGAGGGAATGATGGGGTAGAAAGACATATTCTAGGTAGGGTGAGCAGGTGACATTTGAATTAATTTTGAGAGCGAGCCATCCATGGAAGAGCTCTGGGCCGGGGTAATCGCACTTGGAAAGATAATGAGATGGAAGCAACGGCCACTCAATGAAGGCTTAAGGAGAAGACCCGATCACTGAAACCACTGAAACATTGGATTTCATTCTAACTGCAGTCCGGAATCCTGACTTACTGTTAAAATATCACCGTGGTTTCTTTGGGAGAATGTTTGAAACATCTATATTCTGAGTCTAAAATACTTGTTATAAAATAGTCACATTTTTCGGCTACTTTTTTGTCAAAAGGGAAATCTTCCGGATCCACCAGGGGGCGCGGTAAAGCGCTCGCTCCACAGAACGTACCTCTTAGCACTCTGGTTCTTTTCGAGGAGCGGGTCGCTTCCGGGAGCGGCCGCAGCGCCCGGCCTCTTCCTCTCTGTCCGCCCGTCTCTGTGGTCTCCAGGGCGCTGCCCCGGTCCCGCAAGCCGCGCGCTCTTTGCACTCTGCCCGAAGCCGACGCCGGGGCTGCAGGGCTCCGGCGGAGGGTGGAACCCGGCTCATGGCGGCCCCGGAGCCCGCGGCCGGGGCTGGCGTCAGGTGAGCAGGGCGGCCGGGGAGGAGGGCCGGGCCTCAGGGTGCCCTCCCCGGGGCTAGGTGAGGAAGAGCCTCTGCTGCCTTCTTCCCTCGGCCGAAGCGCTGTTGGAACCCCGGTCCCGGCAAAAGAGAAACTCCCGAGGGGGCGCCCCCCCCCCCCCGCCCCAGCGATCCGGGGCCTCCTCCTGCCCTCAGGGAGTGGGATCCTCTCCCTCGGCACTTGCTCCCCGCCCCCCCCCCCAAGAATTTCAAGTGCACAAAATTGACTTAATCGTCATTCTCAGTTCTTGGCACACTGTGGTCCAGTGTAAAGCTCTTCTTGTGTTTTACTTTATCTTCTTTCCTTATTCCCATTATTCCTTTATTT